GACTTTATTTTGACTATGACTACGGGCCAATCACTTTAATCCTATTTTTAGCTAATTTAAAAAGTTAAATTAAATCAAGTTAGGGAACTTCCTATTCTTCTTAAACGGAATCACTATATCTATAAATTATTTTATACTTTTTAGTTCTTGTTGTAATAAAAGCTTGTTTTTAGTTTTTTAACTATATTTTTATTCTAAAAAATCCAATACTTCCCTATATGTATCCTGAAAATTTTTAATAAAAAATCGCGCGACTTTTCATTTCAAATTTTCGCCTGCGGCGCTTATTTCTAAAAAATGAGAAATGAGGAGGGCAATATTTTGTTAAAAACTTAAAAAGCGAATGGGCTATAAAACTGCGTACCAAAAAAAAATTCTAAAAATTGTAAAAATTCTGAAAAAGTGAAATTTTCATGAAAATTCAACGATTCTTTTTAATTGTTGCAAAGTTAGAAACTTTGTGTTTTAGGTATTTTGTTGTTGTATGAACTATATGTTTATTAATAATTAAAAATTTTAAGAAAACACAATATTTTCAAAATCTGGAAACAAATTCATTACGATTTTGACTGACACTCACTGGATAAATATGTATCAGTTTAGTAATTTGTAGTAAACAGCTAATAAATGAGAATTAAATTTTATGTGTTTTGCGACGAATTTGTAACTCCTGGCATATGGGATCTCGTACATAATTTCCCTTAGAAACTTCGCTGTGGCTTACTATTTCATCAATTGTTTCTGGTGTTACCTCGTTAATAAATTCCAGATCATCCTCACTTGCGATGTTGTGCAAAACACAGCAAGCTCTAATGAAATAAATAACATTTTTTGTTGAAAAAATCGCTGCTTTTTTGTTTTTCCTCATCAGTGGGCCATTTAATTATGTCTCTACTCAAAGAGCTAATAAACATTGTAACTCTATTAATTATGTTACAAACTGCTGACAGAGCAAGATTAAATCGATCAACTAGATCTCTATAGCTGCAAGCCTCATGCCCTGCAAACCACAAAAAGACCAGCAAGTACACCCTTTCAGAAAGCCTTTTGTCCACTCTAAGTATTTTGTAGTGATCTGAATGCAAGAATCGTTGGCTAAGGCTTTCAACCAAGCTTCTTGAAATCTTAAAATGTGTTCGAAATTCTTTCTCGGTGTATGTCGGCACTATTTCCTCTACATAATTCTCAACACAATTTCTTGGATTTCTTTCGTTATAAAATAAAAAAATTTCGTTCGGTCGAAGCTGTTCCCACAAATGAATTTCTTCGTCATCATCACTTTCAGATGAACTCGAATCCATCATGATTATAATGGCATTGGCAATAAGTTTCCTCTTTTTTGCTGCACTTTTCCTGCTTGCATCTGCATTACCTGCTTTGTGCAAAACATGATCTAAAGCTCAAGCTCAAAAATGCAGTTATAAAAACACAAATACCTTCAATGCTCTGAACTTGCAGTGCAAATCCCTCAACTGGAGCAACTGTGGCTGTAGGCAACGAATCAGGAACACATTCTTCCCGTACTAATTGAATATTGGCAGATTCCTAGTTCATATAATAGAATTAATTCAATAAATTTAATAAACTCAATAAACTGGTATAATTACTCACATTTTCCATTTTAAAGCTTTTTATTTAATAGTTTCACCAAATAAATTTAAATTTTTTGTTTGGTTATTGAACGACCAAATACATGTGGTCAGCTGTTTCTCTCACTTGCTAGTTTTTAAGCTAAGTGTACACGGTAGAGAAAAAACGCGAGATTTAGACAAAAATCTCGCTAGAGATGTGTAAACACTCAATAGAGCTCTCCGAGAGACTCAACCACAAAGTTTATGTGAGAGTTATTTAGCGAGACTTTTTCACCGTGTACACAGTCCAACGAAGCTAGATCGAAAACTACGACAACTCTACGCTCTATTTAGCAAGCTAAATAGACTTTTTGCTCTACGGAGACGTATAGTAAAGTCTTGACAATGAACTTCATTACAGATTGTTAAATTTTGAAATGGCTATGACATTAAATCGTATATTCGATACAAGCACACCATTTTAAGTGCATTTAGAACTTAGTCAAATAATGTACCGGGAATCATCCTCTTATTTTCATTGGTATTTCAATGGCTTTTCCAATAGCCTCCTNTTCCTTTGCAAAGAGGTATAATTACACTGGACCACAAATTTCAACTTTTTCTCTTTACCAGAAACGCCGTTATGAAATTCTTATGTAAAATCACCCCCTGATTCCGAAAATCAAGTTATTTTTAATTCTATGGTACCGTTTTTGAGATATTTGCAATTTACCGTTTTTGCAAAAAAAAAAAATTGGGTCCACTTTATCATATATATCTCAAGAACGAATTAAGCAATTCCAAAACGGTTTGAAGCTTTTAAAAGGTAATACAATTTTCTATAAACTGTGCATAC